GACATTCTCACCTGCACACACCACCCCCACCCCCACCGGCTCCCCCTCCCCCTAAGCACTCACATTCGCCCTCGCAGCCTCTCCCCACACAGATCGCGGCGCCGCAGAACACCCAGCAGCCTCCTCAGCCAGAGGAGCACGCCTTACCATTTAACAGGATTCGGGCGGCCTAAGCTCCAGAAACCCCCTCCCCACACAGGCCACGTCCCAGGCACGGCCGGAGGCTGGACCCCTCGCCCGCCGGGAGGGATGCGCTACCTTTGGACTGGCAGTCCGCACAGAACTTGTTATCCTCCTCCAGCAGCAGGTTGGCCAGGACCGCCTGGTACCGATCCACGTCCTTCACCGACTTGCCCGTCATGGCCAGGGTGCCGGCGGGGGCAGAGGGCGACGCGCCCTCCCCGCCCCCAGAAACCCCTGCCTCAGTCGCGAGGTGAGGACTCCCGGTCCCCCACCCAGGGGCACCTCCTGAGCGGGGGGAAAGCCCTCCCCACACCCCCGGGCCAGGCCCGGCGCCCCTTCTCTCGTCAGGCGAGCCCGCCCCCCACTCTGCAGCCCCTCAGTGCGGCGCCCCCTGGCGGGCTCAGGGAAAGGCCCGAGTCCAGAGGAGGCTGCCGGACTAGAGACCTTCAGCTCTGGCAAACGGGGCGCGCAGAGACGACCCCCTCGCCGGCCTGTCTGCGGGCCGTGTGTCCCGCGCCTCGGTTTCCCTGGCAGCTGCCGCCTGCTCGGCCACCACCTCGGCCGCCTACTTCCGGCAGCTCTTCCTCTCCACCTCCACCCAGCCAGCCCGCGCATGCGCCCCGCCCTTACCGCGTCGCACAGGGCTCTTTCCTCGGCTCCGCCTCTCAGGGACCAATCCGGGCAGAAGTGAGGGGCGGAGCTTGGGGGTGGGTGGAGGGAGGAGTGGGCACGCCTCTTTCATGTCCTTGGAAAAGAATGAATGAGCCTGGCAGAAAGCGAGTGTAGGGAGTGGAAGAAAGTGAAGGAAAACAGCAATTAACATTTGCTGAGTTCTTACTATGTGCCAGGCTCTGTGTTAAGCGCTTTATATGAATTATCCCAATATAATCCTCAAAACGTCTCTATGAGTTAAATATTTATCATTCTTATGTAACCTGAGGGTTGTGGCTACTCCAAAGTCATCCACCTTATTCTTTTCTTCAATAGCCAAATGGAGGACCCAACCTCCTAATCCAGGATAAGGGGGACAGCACATCCTCCCCAAGTTTTCAGAGGATTCTGGTCGCCTCTCACTGCTCCCACTGAATTCTGGGTTCCTCTGTTCATTACATTTCCTGCCATCTTTGGACATTGCTTACCTGGTGCCTGGACACTTTCTTTCATCTCTTAAATCCTCCCCAAACAGTGCAGTTTTGTGCAGCAGACTTTCACTGAAGGTTATTTGGAGGGATGTGGTGGAGAGGAAGGGTGATTACAGCAAAACACACAATAGAGAACTACTTAAAATGACTAGTAAACATCAGTGTCCAGGGACGCCTGGGTGGTTCAGTCAGTTAAGCGTCTGCCTTCAGCTTAGGTCATGATCCCAGGGTCCTGGGATCGAGTCCTGCATCAGGCTCCTTGGCTCAGTGGGGAGCCTGCTTCCCCTCTGCCTGCAGCTCCCCCTGCTTGTATTCTCTCTCTCTCTCTCCCAAATAAATAAATAAATCTTTAAAAAAAACAAAAATAAAAAAATAAACATCAGCCCTCACTACTCAGAACTCCTCCACAAAAGTCCTTTTCTTGGGGTGCCTGGGTGGCTCAGTTGGTTAAGCAGCTGACTCTTGATTTCAGCTCAGGTCATGATCTCAGTGTCCTGGGATAAGCCCCACATGGGGCTCCGTGCTCAGTAGGGATTCTGCTTGAGGTTTCTCTCTCTGCCCCTCCCCTCACTCACCCTCTCTCACTCTCTTTCTAAAATAAACAAATAAATCTTAAAAAAAAAAAAAAAAGTCCTTTTCTTTAGGGATTCACCTGCTCCCTGGCAAATGTTTTCATTCATTCATTTACTCAGCAAATTGTTACTGAGAAACTTCTAAGTATCAGGCACTGGACTAGGGGAAAGGGACCAGCATGATTCAATTAATGGTTTTAAAAGAGCACTCTGGCTGACATGGGAAGAATGGATCAAGGAAACCGATTAAAAACAGATGCTCACAGTTCTCTCGAGTGAAACCCTCCCCTCCATCTTTTTACTTTCTCCCAAGCCCAAGCTTCCCTCAAAACTTCCATCTCATCAGAGGAAAACCAACATTTTCTATTACTTTATTAATCAAAATTGTTTAATACTCCATCTAAACCTCTTCCTTTCTAGCCATGCCTAGGAGACTTGATTTTCGTAAACACGTAAGTTCATTAAGGTATTTTTCCTAAACAAAATCTCAGTTATTTCTCTAGAAGGAATTTTGCATTTCTCCTGAGCGAATTTTCTCAACCTGCAACCAGTTTGTAATCACCTTTCTTACTTTGACTTATTTAACGTTTCTGACTTTAACACGTGTTTTATAAATGAGCAAACTGAGACTTGGAATAATGAACTCCCTCATCTAGCGAGTAGTAGAGCTGGGATTTTTAACACAGATGTCTGTAATTCCAGAGCCTTAGTACTGTCAGTTTTTGCTTATGTTATTTTTATAATCCTCAGAAAAACCCACTAAGATAGGTATTACCATAATCATGTTTCAAGAAATGATGAAACAGAGGCTCAAGCTGATGGAATGGAGGCTCAAGATTACCCAGTTAATTGTAGTAAATGTGCCTTAGTTCAATCCTCCTCATCTCCATCCCTTCACTATGCAAATAGCCTTCCTGCCTTAGTCTAACCCCAGTTCAATTTGATTTTTCACCCCACTCTCTGGAGAACGCTTTCTCAATAGCAAATCTGATTGAATCACATCCTCCTGCTTAAAACTCCTTTAGTGACTCTCGATCATCTCTGACCATGCATCTCAAATTTTCCCATCTAGTGAGAGACTGCATAGTCTGTTTACAGCACCAGAATGACTGGGTTTAAATCTTCAGCTTCATCTTTACTGTCTGTGTGACTTTGATCAAGTTACTTAACCTCTCTGTACCTCAGTTATTTCATCTATAAAATGGGGATGATGATGATATTAATAGTACCTATTTCATAGAATTATTATGAGGCTTAACTGAGTTAATGACTGTAATATATTTAGAACAGCTCTTGCCACAAAGTGAGTGATAGACTATTAATTCTCTTCGGTAAATATTGCTGACTTTCTGCCTTCTGGCCACATGGTAGGATTTTATTTCCTGGCCCTCTCATGGTTGGATGTGGCCAATGAGTTTGAGCAGAAAGGACACATGTCACTTCACACCCAAATCATTTATTTGCTGCTTTGAGACTCCTCTGATTCTCTTTCCCTCTGGCATGGCAACCATCGGCATTCAAATTGGTGGTTGTCTTAGCTCAGAATGCCATAACTGTAGACTGGGTGGCTTATAAACAACAGAATATATTTCTCACAATTCTGGAGACTGAGAAGTCTGAGATCAACATACCAACAGATTTCATGCCTGGTGAAATCCCCACTTCCTAGTTCATAAGCTGTCAATTTTCACAGCCTGACACTCGTGCAAGAGCCTTGATTTTCCATTGCTGATGGAGCCCACTAAGAGAAAGCTGGTATCTATGTCAACAGCACTACTTCTTGGTATTCATAGCACCAGGACTCCCCGGGATTCCAGGCAATCCCTTGCCACGAAGGAAAGAATGACCTCTCCCCAACTCTGTGTCACACATTGTCATTTGGGCCCCAAACTACTTGTGCGCAGTATCACAGTCTTTGTTAAAGACAGCTTGGCTGGCTTTTGAACCTCTCCCTCTAATCTAGGGGATCAGGCCCATCACCAGGGACCTGAGGAGCCTAATGGCAACAGACTTCATGCCATACCAACCTGCTTCTTTGAAACAGTTTGTGCCCCTTACTCCTACTAAATATCTCCCCCTTCCCTCCTCACCCCTGGTTCTACAATATAACCGCCCATTACCATCAGCCAGCACAGATTCTGGGAGAGGGAGGAGGCAGAGTTGTCTGTAGTAGTGTCTGAATCCCAGCCTAACTCAGCACCATTGCAATCTCGATGTATTGTCCCCAGGGGCATAATAATGACCAGACATCACACATGAGCAGTTGCATTCCAACTATGTACTGATGCAGGAAAGTGGGCCCCTATAGCCATGTTTCTTGCATTTTCAGGGCCTACAAGGGACTGAGCAAGTATATACCTGGCCTGGGCCTAATCTGGGGACCCTGTTGTATAATGAGAGAAACTCACCCCTCACCACATAGCAGAACACTGGGGAAAAGACAAGATCTTAAGTTTCCAGGAAGGAAAAAACAAGTCACATGAAAAGGATCAGGAGGGACACCTGGGTGGCTCAATCGGTTAAGCGACTGCCTTCCACTCAGGTCATGATCCCAGGGTCCTGGGATCAAGTCCCACATTGGACTCCCTGCTCAGCGGAGCCTGTTTCTCCCTCTGCCTGCCGCTCCCCCTGCTTGTGCTCGCTCTCTCTGATAAATAAATAAATAATAAAATCTTAAAAAAAAAAAAAGAAAAGGATCAGGAATCAGAGTGGCACAGAGTTCTCAACAGCAACTCTGGGAGCCGGGAGACAATGGAACATTGCCTTTAAAATTCTGAGGAAAAAGAGTCACCAACCCAGAATCCCATACCAGCCAAAGCATTCCTCTAGAGGCAGTATTGAACAGAGACACTTCTAGATACACTAGATTTCAAACTTTCACCTCCTGTGCTGGCTGTGCCCCCTTGCCCCTCCACATCCATTCCACTCTTCACCCTACTCTGTGCCCCCAAAGGCCAACTCTGTGTGAGACATCCACTCGACTCCAGCGCAGGCTGGCTTCTGATTGGCTTCAGCCAATAGGAGGCATGACTGGGAAATCAGAGGGCAGAGGTGGAGAGAGGCTGAGCTCTTTTCTCTGCTCCCTCCCTGCTGGCAGAACCATCACATCCCTAAATGACAGCTAGAGTCTTGTGAGCATGGCCCTCTCTTACAGCTGAGGTTCTTCTGGAAATACCCTCTCCTCTTGCCCTTTCAGGCTTTGGGGATAACAGCTTTTGGCTGTTGCTAGCCCCAACATACATCATGTCCCTTGTTGGTGTTTCCAACCCTGCCCATACTTTTTTAAATGGTCCTTTCTTTAGGGGTGCCTGGGTGGCTCAGTCAGTTAAGCATCTGACTCTTGATTTCAGCTCAGGTCTTGGTCTCAGAGTCGTGAATTCAAGCCTTACATTGGGCTCCGTGCTGGGCATGGAGACTACTTAAACAAACAAATGAACAAACAAGCAAACAAAACCCTGGGGCGCCTAGGTGGCTCAGTTGTTAAGCATCTGCCTTAGGCTCAGGTCATGATCCGAGGGTCCGGGGATCCAGCCCTGCATCGGGCTCCCTGCTCAGCTCCCTCTGCCTCTGCCTCTCCCCCTGCGTTTGCTCTCTCACTCTCTCTGTCAAATAAATAAATAAAATCTTTAAAAAAAAAAAAAGTCCTTTCTGTAAACTCTCTTCAATTGCCTCTTTTGCATTGGCCATATGATTCCTCTTGGAACTCTAACCAGGTCACCTCCCCTGCATATCTTGTCAAAAATGACAGAGTAAACCAAGAAAAAGGAAAACACCAAATCCAGAAAACACAGCACTTAGTACAGAAAAAGACCCAGTGTGCTGGTGAAGGGGGATTCCAGGGTGATGGTTATGCAGAATACCTACTCCTGATTGGAGCCGTGGGACAGAAACTTTAG